ACGTCAGCCTTTCCAGGCTATTTTGATCTAGTCCAAGTACCTTCCCAAACTCAGTGCTTTGGAACCACAATAGGGGTCGGTTTCCTAGACATCTCCGGGAGTCGCTTTAGACCAGCTACAGAGTTCCTCCTGTGACATCAAAGCTGAGTCAAGATGTGGAAGCTAGATCACCCCAACAAGTCTACTGCCCATCTGACAACCTATACAGAGCTATTACAATACCGTTGACTCTATTCCCTATGCTGTACCTTACATCCTGTGACTATATATTTTTTTAAATTACAGTTGATGTTCAGTATGATTTTATATTGGTTTCAGGTGTACAGCATAGTGGTTAGGCATTTATATAATTTATGATATGATCTCCCCGATAAGTCTAGTACCCATCTGACACTGTCCATAGTTTTGACATTATCTTTGATTCTACGCTTTGGCTTGAATCCTTCTATTACCCTAGAATTCCCGATATGAACTGGATTCCTGTCTCAGGTAAAACAAATAGATCAACAGGTCTTTTTTTTTTTTTTAAGGCTACTGGTCCTCCTGACTGAGTCAACATCCTACAGAAAGAGAAAAAAAAGCATAATATCAGGACAGGTAGTTCCCAGCCCAGCTCTGCCCTTGACTCCTAGTGGGAACTTTGATGGTGCCTCTAGACTGCAGCTTTCCTGTCTGCAAGCTGAGATCGTTTGTCTGAATGACTCATATGTCAGAGGGGACTTGCAACTCCGGAGTCAGTGGAAGATTGTGGCTCAGGGCAGCTGGGTCAAGCTGAGAAGCATTTGCTGCCTGTGCATGACCCTTATCATGCTGGACTCCTGGCATGACAGGGGCAGACACACTTGGCTGGCTAGAACAGAGTCTCCTCAACTAAGGAGGGTCTGGACAACGAGAGCCTCAGAAGTGGCCAAAGAATGTCCCCAAATTATCAGTGACCCAAATTGCTCCACCCTCAGAGCACACACAGAGCCTGCAGATACGGCATCAAGATTTCCGCTCAGCAGAACTCCTCTGCTGGAGAACACTATGTCTCTGGGAGGAGCCTGGTAGTAGCTGAGCTGTTCCCAATTAACCATATATTTTAAGACTGCCATGCTTATCCTGGGCATTTCAGCTGGCATTGCTGGGTCATTTCACTAATACCATGCAACCTCAGAACTTCTAGCCTTTCCCATCATTCTTGCTCTCTCCCTTCACTTCCTGCAGAGTTGAAAATGCTTTTACGAGGTAGGAAATTTAGAGAGCAGCCGCCAAGAGGCCTTGGAAGCCCTACTGGCTCTAATCCCCTTCCTTTTTAAAGTTGGTTAAACTATAGGCTAGAAACTGGGGCTAGAACACAGAATGGAAGGGAGGGTGCATAGCAGCTGCTCTCGTGCTCACAACGGGAACGGGAACGAGAATGGTTTAGATAGCTTTCATTTCTTGGCTGATACTCCCTTGCTTTAATGAGGGCATACCCCTCCAGACCAGTCTGAGAGTGGGAGGCTGGGAGTCCCCCATGGAATATGGAAAGTCCAGATGCCTCTCTCCCTGCCTTTTCTGCAGCCACTCCATGTGCATGGGTCTTGGTTCAAGCAACACCTGCACAGACTCCCTCGTGGAGGTAAGGACACGTGATGGTAAGCAGACACAGAGAAAGGAAGAAGTTAGAGTTTCTTCCAGAAGCCAATGGCTGCAGCATCTTGCTTCCAAGGAGAGGAGTGGAAGTGACGTCCAAGGCTCTGACAATGTTGGCTGGACAAGATGTGACATCAGCGTGGCCCGAGGCAGGAGAGCACGTTGTGGTGTGCTCTATTGTGATTCGGGAGTAAAAGGCTGTGGGACAGATATTGATGAATTGGTGTCTCCATAAAAACATCAACTGCAGAAAGGGAAGATGTAGTATCATCTAGTGTGAAAAAGCTGAGACTGTAACCTGTGATTAAACTAGGGGCAGGAAAATCATTCAGGTTCATGCAAAGTGACCTCGTGAAATAAATTACTGCTGATGGAGAAGCAGAAAAGAGGCGTCTTGCTGTCTGGCTCAACATGAGAAAGCATTTTCCCAGGGACATTTCCATAGTGGTTGGAGAGTGTGGCCTTCTGTTTCAGAGGTGGCAACATTTATGCCGTTCCCTTTGCAACTGCCAGTGGAAAGAGTCCCTGGAGTTTCATGGGGAGTTTGGAATTCTCTGAAAATCCACAACGTAGGGGATATTGGTGCGTTTGTTGACTGCCCGCTATGTGAGATTCCCGTCTTATGTTTCGGCACCTCCCTATTTGAGTTGACACTCGAGAGCTGGTCTCCCACTGTACAAACTGAACATTCCTTTACCTTCTGATACCTAGGGCTGCACTAAGATGCTCAGCAAATCTAGTGTTCCCACCTGGCCCTTTAGATCTCTACTGAGTGACTCAAAGCACCAAGGATGAAGGGGCATTTGGCAATACAGTCAACTACAGCAACGTGTGATTCAGAAACACTGGTAGCCATGGGGAGTGTCCAGGGCCGCAGCGAAAGCATCCACGTCACACAGTGTTGAGGTGTGGCTCTGGCTGTGATCATGCTGTCGGATGCTGTCGGACGCTCTCATTCTTGCAATGCCCCTGAGCCTGTCTTCATCATTCTCTGAGCCGCATTGTTCAGACTAGTTTCTCAGCGGAGCGAGAGCTGAGACAGCGGTAGGACAGCAAGTCTCATTGCAAAGCAACACCTGTGAACATAAAGGAGCGGAAACAGGATTGGGTACAGGGAACCATCCCCATGCCGGTCTGACGACATCTCCACCAGCCTGATGGGGAGCTCTGAAGCGAGGATTTTCCATTAGAGGAGACCTCCCTTGGGCATAAAAGGAAAGACCCTACTACCACGCCTTACTCTGTCCCTGGCTAGAGGCCCCCTGGGTAGAGTGTGATCTCAGCCCAAGCACCAAGGTAGTGCCCGAGAAGCATTTGCTGTCGGTGGTCAGAGGACCACAGTCCTTTCCGCTGAGCAGCGAGTTGCTTCTGGAAGGGAGTCTGCGCTGCACATCTCCCAGTCAGACCCAGTGTACCCCTTGTGCTGTGGGGATCCACAGTGTGTCTCCATACACATTCAGGAATAGCTCCTCCAGGGCTCTAGTGGGTTCTCTTTCTGCAGGAAACCATAGAGGATGGAGGTCAGTGGGAAAAACAACAACTCCAGCCCCTGAAAATGGTGTCAGGGCTGCAGCTGCTCCTCATCAGCCTCCTCATTTCTTCATTCTGACGTCTCCTTGTCCTCAATTACCGTCAATGCTGCTCTCAGCGACTTACCTGGTGGTGTGACCCAAATCCTCGTTCCTGAGGGGAAAAGGTACTCCATGCATGTAGTAATCATAAGAAAGCTGAGGTAGCTGTACTAATATCAGACAACATTGACTCTAATGCAAAAATGGAAATGGAAAAGCATGAAGGTGGAAGGGACCTGGGTGTCTGAGAGGTCTTGGTTTGGTGAAGCCCCTTGACTAGTCATAGGCTGCTGACACTAGGCTGCTTCCTGAGAGGAAAGAAATGATCTTATTGAAGCAATTTACGTCAGCTTAATCTATATGCCAATTCGAACAAGAGGTGGTTCTTTTGTTTTTGCAAATGTGACCCTGCAGTCTGAATCCTATTATTTTAATAACCCAAGCTTCATTCAGTGATTTGCAATATGACATTGATCTAAATTAAATTATATACAATAAGCCCTGCTTTTGGGGTTTCTGTTCTTTTGATTGATTTCTCTGACTCCTCATTTTTCTAATAAAACCATCATATTGTGTGTTATTATTTAGTTTTAAGGCTATGGGTTTCAAATGCCCTCAAATGAATTTTCCTTTTCAAATATTCAAATTTCCATGGATGCGCTGGTATCAGAGCTCTAGCCCAGGCCAGCCAGTCCCCTGGAGAGTGAGCGGGAAGCCCTGGCTTGTATGCTCCCGGAGAGAAGGGGCTCAGTGCTCCCCATTCTCTCACCCCAAGACTCTGCTTCCCATTTCCAGTTACAGCAGAAGCCCAACACAAAAAGACTTGTGTCAGGGCCAGACTCCTTCCAGAATAATTGCCTTCAATCCTCCAAATTGAATAGACAACTGAGGCTCAGAGAGGGAGAGAGATTTGTCTGAGGTTATCCAACGAGTTGGGAGGCGAAGCTGGGACTAGACCTCAGTCCACTGGCTCCCAAGCCAGAGCTCTTCCCACTCCACCCAGCACGCCCCTCCTCCTGTGGCTTCGGCCTTCCTGGAGAGCTGCCTTGTCCAAGGGCAGCAGGGCAGGGGGGCCAGCAGCAGAGCCATGAGTTCCTTTAAGTTTGCCCAACATACACCCTCCACTCTCGTCACTACTCAAGTCGGCCCCTGCCCCCCAATTCATGTCTCCAGAGAACACTATGCACCGTTCACACTAAAGGATCAAGAACTTGGTGTTTCTTGCTTCCTCATTCACATCTTGAAATAGAAAGTTGGGAGAGGACACCGCTTAACACAAAGGAATTATGTGTTAATGGAGGCATCTCAGGCACGAACAGGTGACGTGCTTCACGAGCAGGGACTTCCCAGCATCTGTCTGTCTTTGTCTTTTTGGGAGGATAGCGGCCCGTGGGACGCATTAAAGGGAAGGAAGGAGGGAGCTATAGGTTTAGCCGCAGGGTTGGTTGGTCACACCGGCAGGCCTGGCCATAGCCAGGTCAGGACTGCGGGTCGATGGGAGAGGTGAGGAACTGCCTGCAGTTTATGCAACATTTAGCTTTTTATTTCCCTGGTCCTAGGTCAGAAGCAAAATTTCCAAATTTCCATTTCCTGGTACGACAGAGTCTGTAGTTCTTGGGTTGATTCCTGGATTTCTAATATTAAGCCCTATGAATGGGCCTCTTGTTCCTGTCCTTTGCTCTCCTTCACACACCAGGAACACCTCCCATGGGGTTCTCTCACCCCCACCCCCCACTGGGGAGAGGGAGTCCCAGCTCCCCACCCACCTCCCTGAAGCTTCCGGGAACAGAGGAGTCAATGGAACCAAACAAATGGAGCAGAAAGTAGTCTTTTATTGGAAAATCGCTGAGGGAGGCAGCTCTAGGCTTGAGCGTTCTCAGTGAGAGGAAGTCTGAGCAGTGAGGGAACGGGCAGTGCTACAGGGACCCAGGACGGCAGCCCCGAGGACTTCACAGGTGCAGCAAAGGCAGGCTCCACCTGGTAGGAGAGAGGAGAACCAGAGATGTGATTCAGCAGGTCGAAGCACTCAGAGGCAGCGGGAGGCGGGACCAAGTCCCCATGTCACCCCCTCAGCTTCCCCATCGCCTCCCCATATGCTCTCTCCTGCCAACCTAGGATCATTCCCCACTGCTCAGCCTTTTCTGTGCCCTCAGGAGTCACCTCTCCCTCCATTCAGTTCTTACCTCACAGGGGATTCATACAGGCCTTTCCGCAGGAGCCCACACAGCACTTCCTGGCGCCCGGGCACTCAGTGTCTCTCATACAGGCGTTAGGCGGATTCATCATGGCACACCTCATTATAACCATGGGGCAGGAGCCAGGCTTAATGCGACCTTGGTTTGAGCCTTGTCCTTTGCCTGGATATTGATATTGAACCTCATCTTGTGGGATTTTTTGTCCTTTGACTGGAACGCGACCTTTGCCAGCTTCTTGACCTTTATAAGAAGCTGTGGAAAGAAGATATGTACCCACATTAAGACCCAGTGTCCTTGCTTCCACTATCTTGTCTTTCCTCTAGGTTCAGCCACTGCTCATTGCAGTGTCCCTCAGACGACGGCCGGAGCTGGAGGAGGGTCACCAAGGCTAGCTGCGGTCTGTGCTCTTGGAAGGCTATCCCCTGAGCTTTGCGGAATGGTTGCCTTGGTGTCCACTTCTCCTCCTTCCCTCCATTCCAAGTCCTGGGATGCCAGACTGGAGTGACTCCCAGAGGTGAGAAGTACACATTGTCACCTCTGGGAAAACTTAGTGCAGAGGAGAAGAGCCCTGAGACACACGCTGGGACACCGGAGCTCCTCCTGGCTCTGGAGGTTGCTTTGACAACTGCTCACTCCTCTCCAGGGCTCTATGGCCTTCTCGGTCCCAATGGCGGTCTTCAAACTACATGATTTCTGAGGTCCTGTTGGTTCTTAACCTCCTCTTTGAGAACTGATTCCTCAGGTGCTTTTATGGGGCAGCCTGGGAAGGGAGAGACCTCACACCCAGGGCTCAGGTTCCTGGGGCTCCTCACTTCGTTGCACACTCTGCAGAGGTATCAATGCCTGGGGCCAAGGCCACGCAACGGCACTTCTTCCACCAACAGTCCTGCCATCTCAGTCCTGGGGTGGAAAGCATGTGGAGTCTGCTGGGCAACTTCCTACTTTTTCTGGGTACACAGAAGTGACCGCTGGCTGAAGTGGGGGTCCAAGCCCTCCCTGCCTGCTGCTCCAGCTGTGCTCCCTGGCAGGGCCCAGGTTGCCCTGACAGCCTGTCCTCCATCCAACCCGGCCCCAGTTAGGCCAGGTGTCCACTCACCTCCCACGACAGCTGCCTGTGCTGCCAGCGTCCCAAGGACGAGGAAAACCGCCAGGATCAAGAGACTGCTGGACCTCATGTTGTCAGGAGCATGTATGGTTACGAGCTGAGGCCAAGCCCTGCTTTATGCAGTCCCAGCTTGGCCTGGTGCCAGGGCTGGGCCTGACTTTACATGGGGTAAGACCTACATTTTGTAGTTCTACCAGGAACTAGCCATCATCCTGGGAGGGACCTTGGGGATTTCCCCAAGATTATTCACAGAGAAATGTGTTACATCACCTCTGACGGTGCCAAGAGCTGTGCTTTCTCACGGAGGTGCAGAGATGCTGGCCCTTAGGTACCATCACAAACATCGCAAATTTTTAAAAACATTTTGTTGGGGAACAGCCACGGTCATTGGTTGCATATTGCTTTCAGGCTACAATGGCACAGTTGACTCTTTGAAGGAGAGCGCAGGTCACAGTGGCCCATGCGGGGTTCGAACCGGCAACCTTGGTGTTATCAGCACCACACTCTAACCAACTGAGCTAACCAGTCACACTCCCCCACCTCCCCGCAAACAAATTCTTTATATGTAGAAAGAATATGAAGTCCAGAGAAAAGACAGAAATCACCCAAGGTCATTCAGCAAGTCAGTGGCAGGCCCTCTGTTCTGATTTCAAAACCTACGTTTCACCATTACTCCCTGTCCCAACAAGCCCCACCCAAACAGCTTACCCCTCCCAGCATCAAGCTGGGCTTTACTTTCATTCTCCCCTTGCCCTGGGGAAAAATTCTCAAGTCTGCCTGGAAAGTTCAGTGGCTCACCACTGCACGTTGCCATTTCACAGGTAGTTCTCTGAGCTGCACCAAGAAAGTAAGAGGGAAGGTAGAAGTCTAGATCGGGAAGCAAGTAAGCCCTTGAAATCACAGTAAGAAGAGAGAAGACACCCGGCAAAGTAAAAGGCAAAAGACAGAAATCATCTACAGGGTGGACATCTATGGTACACGGGTCCAGCATGGCTTCCTCCTTCTTAGAACGAGACCCTGTTTCATCTGCACTCTTGTTTCTTTGTACCATCAACTTAAGAGTCTAATGGGGACTGCTAATCACGGAATAGGGGTGTGTGTGGGGGATGGGTGGAGGGCTCAGGTCAGGCCTACCGAAGTCCTTTATTTGAATGGACACTAAAGGGAAGAGGGAAATCCCTCCTTTCGCTAAAGATGCTACCTATGAGCCTGGGAACTCCAGAAGCTGTGGTTGCAGTCTGGGATGAGTTCCACTGCGTGAGAAAAATGAGCCTCATTAACAAACGAAGGGAAGCAGAGAAGAAATGGTGAAAGGATTCAGGAGGCACCAGCCTGCCCTCCCTCCATCCCTCTTTCCCTTGAGAGCAGCTCTTCCCACGCCCTTCCCACAGTTGGACTATGACCCAATAAATGAGCTTTGCCTAAGCTAGCCCGATTTGGTATTTTGTGATTGCTACCAGTGAGTTGAGAGTAATATAATAGAAATGAATACCCAGAAGTTGGGTGTTACCAGGGACAGAACCTAAAGCGTGGAAATGACTGAGCTGAGCTCAGTTGAGACAGGGAAGAAAGCAGGCTAATTATGGGATAGTAAGCCAGTTGATGAACTCCCCGTCCTTTGCCTCTTTGGACTCAGATCACATGCCCACCAGCGCGGAAACATTCAGGAGATATAAGATATAAGCAAAGGTCAGAATGTTGGAGCCTGTTGGCTACTTAAAAAAAGAAAATAAAGGTCATTGCAAAATAAATCATACAAACAAAAAAGTTTGTAGAACATACTCTATTCTTTAAAGAATAGCATTAAAATGGGCAGTGTGTACTCCCCTGCCAGGTAAAGAAAGAGAATATTTGCTGTATATATGTATATTGTCCTATTGTCCTACTTCCCCAATTGCTTCCCTCCCCCTTCTTCCCAGAGGTAACCACTTTCCTGGGTTTTCAGTTAATTAGCCTTTTCAAATATCTTGCCCATTTTTAATGAGTCTATCTTTTCTTCTTATTGGTTTGCAGAGAAAAGAAACTCTCATGCATTACTATCATATATTGGTACAACCTTTCCGAAAATCAGTTTGGCATCAGCTATTAAAAGTGAACATCTGCAGGGCCGGCCGAGTGGCGCGATGGTTAAGAGCTGGCTTGGGACGCCAGAGGGCCCCGGTTCGGATCCCACATATGAGGGCCAGTGACACTGCCCTCTACAGCTAAGATGCTGAACAACAGCTCAACCTGGAGCTGGGCTGCTGTGAGTCGCCGGCGACTGCGTAGGCTGCAGCCCCTGTGGCAGTGGGTTGCCATGGGCTATACCGTATGTAGCCAGCAGCCAGCGTGACCAGCCAGCAGCCACTGTGAGCAGCCATCCAGAAGCTGGCGACTGATCTGCCTCGCCTGGGAAGAGCGCAATGACGGTGCCAACTTGGGCCAGTGAAGCGACGTCCTCCACAACTAGACTGAAGAACAAAAAGGACAGCAACATGTCTGTTCCCCTTTCCCCAATTCCCCAATAAAAATCTTAAAAAAAAAAAAAAGTGAACATGTGCAAAACCTATGATCCAGCAATTATACTCCTAAGTATATACCATATACTTAGGATAAATATTTCCACATGTTGACCAGGAGACATGCACAAGAATGTCCACAAAAGTACAGCTTCTAAAACAAAGAAATACTGGAAACAGACATATTACCAATAAAAAAAATAATGGATAAACATTTTATAGTATATTAATACAATGAAATATTCTGTAAGTATAAAAATAACATAAATATGCCTATTTAATATTTAAATATATTTATAAATGTAATTTACAAATATAAATATAATCACAAGGTGACTCATTAAAATAATGTTGAATGAAAAAATGCAAGCCCCCCCCTCAAATATCTAGAATTATATGCTTGTTATAAGGCTCAAAACTAAGGAAAACTAATAGATTATTTAGGCATACTTATATATGGAGTAAAACTCAAAAAGTGGTAAATGAAAATGAAGAAATTATAAATATGAAATCAGGATAGTGATTAACTCTGGAAGTAAGAGAAGGAACATTTTGGATAGGAGAGAAACACCTGGATTGGCTTTTGGAAGTGTTCTAGTTCTCGGGCTGATTGATGATTTCACAGCTGTGTGTGTGTGTGTGTGTGTTTTAAGGCTGCAGGGTATGATTTATGTATTACCTTACTTTTCTGTAAGCCTGTAACACTTCACTCTTAGGTTTTAAATCCTTTGCTATTACAAACTATACCACATGTGGCTTTTGGGAATTATTTTGTAAGCTAGATTCCCGGAATTAGATTTGCTACTACAAAGGTTAAATGCATTTGAAAAATTTCCCCAGCTTGTTGAAGTATGATTGACAAATGAATATTGTATGCATTAATGCATACAGCATAATGGTTTGACATATGTATATATTGTGAAAAGATGCCTACAGTCAACCCAATTAACATATCTATCACCATTTTTAAATACTTTTGAAATTTTGACAGTATTGTCATCTTTCCCTCGATAAGGGTCATGTCATTTTGTGCTCCCGCCAGTAGTGGATGAAAATGCGTTTATATCCAGCCTCCTGCACAGAGACTGTGTCTACTTTTCAGATTTTTATCAATCTGATGGGTGAGATATGGTACCTCACTGAAGTTTTTTTTTTTTTTTTAAAGATTTTTATTGGGGAATTGGGGGAATGGGAACAGTGCTGGGGAATTGGGGGAAGAGGATCAGACAAGTTGCTGTCGTTTTTTGTTCTTCGGTCTAGTTGTGGAGGATGTTGCTTCACTGGCCCAAGTTGGCACCATCATTGCGCTCTTCCCAGGCAAGGCAGATCAGTCACCGGCTTCTGGACGGCTGCTCACTGCGGCTGCTGGCTACACACGGTAGCCCATGGCAACCCACCGCAGCAGGGGCTGCAGCCTATGCCGACGCCGGTGACTCACGGCATCCCAGCTCCAGGTTGAGCTGTTGTTCAGCATCTTAGCTGTAGAGGGCAGTGTCACTGGCCCTCATATGTGGGACCCGAACCGGGATCCTCTGGCGTCCCAAGCCAGTGCTTAACCATCGCGCCACTCAGCCGGCCCCTCACTGAAGTTTTTAGTTAGCATTTCTCTATCATTATTGCAAACATTTTTTTCATATATTAAAGGCCACTTATTTTCTTTTTTTCTGAAAACTTCGTTTCCTTTGTTTATTTATCTATAGATTCATTAGCTGTTTTCTTCTCTATTTCTAGGCACTCTTGACATCTTACAGAGAAAGGTCCTTTGCCTGTGATACGGTTTGCAAATAAAAATGCTAACTCCTTCTAAGACCTGCTCAACACAGCTCAGACAGAGTAGGACCCTTTCCTTGTCTTATCTGGATGCTACTTTCTGTTGTTTAGCTATTTCTGCATTTCTGCTTCAAGATATTCTTAAACTGGTGCAATTGGTTCATTAATTGTTTTTCAATTTATGTGCCCAAGTCTAAAATGAAATAAAAATCTAAATGAAACAGAAGAGATCATAGAAAAATAACTTTTTACCTAAACTGACATCATGGCCAATTTCGTTAGATATGACAATATGACAACAGTGTGGTGACCATGGGAGCAAATGTCCTTATTTTTTTGAGATGCACTCTGAAAAATGTAAGGGTAAACCGTGAGATGCACTGGATTTACTTCCAAATACTTCAGCCAAGAAAGGGTGGGGATGCACATGAAAGAAGTGTTGTAAAATGTTAATTGAGGCTCAGTTACAAGATGAGTAAGGTAAAGGGATCTAATGTCCCGCATGGTGATTAGCACCATCATTACTGGATCATATACTTAAAAGTTGCTCAGAGTCCAGCTTTAACAGCAAGAACAACAAAATGGTAATTGTGTGACATAAAGGAAGTGTTACCTAACTCGTTGTGGTAAGCATTTCACAATTCATATGTGTATTAAATCATCAAATTGCACGCCTTGAACTTACACAATGTTATATGTCAATTATATCTCAATAAAGCTGGGAAAAAATGTTAATTGTTGAATCTGGGTGGTGGGTAGATGGGGTTTCATAAAAGCATGTACTGTTCTTTTGTGTAGTTTTGAAAAATTCTATGATAATTTTTGACAAAAAAATAATAACTTTATTTTTGGAACTTAAAAATGACTATTACGAAAAAAAAAAGACTATTAGGTTAATATGGAAGAATGAAATGTGACATGGATGACTAAAAATGTAGATTAATGAAGGGTAATGGGACACTGCCAGTCACTTAAATGTATTATAATTACAAAAGCAGTACTGGCAAGAGAATAAAGAAAGGACGAGAACAGAAAACCCAGAGTCAGTCCCTGTTACATAGAAGGCTTGTTTTTGATAAAGTTCTGATTCCCAATCAATGGCAAAAGTTTGAATTACTCACTAAATGATGCTAGGACAATTGCCTAATAACTTAGAAAAAAGTTATTTCCCTATCTCATACTTTTGCCCAAGTAAATTTCAGATGGATTGAAGAATTAACATTTTTTTTTCAAAATTCACAAAAGAATTATACATAAATATAGTGCATAACTAATTATCTGACACCAGTCAAAAAGACTTTTTCAGCATAAAAACAAAGGGAGAACGTACAAATGAAAAGATTGATTTGACTATCCCCAAATTAAAAACTCTGTTACAAAGTAAAAACAAAGAAACAAATAGGATAGGATTAACATTAGCATTCACCAAGCTTATCTCATTCAATATTCAGAATCATCTTAAAATAAATATTATCATTTCTGTTTTATAGAAGGATAAACTGAGGTCCAGAAAAGTTATGTAACTTGTCCAAAGTCACAGCTAGAACCTGGGGGCACTGGGATTCAAAACCAGGTCTGCCTGACTCCAGTTTACATCTGCTAACCACTTACCATACTGCTTCTTGCATATAACAAGTTAGTAGTATCCTTAATACATAAACAGCTCTTACAACAATAAAAATAAAGCTATCCCAGTAAAAACGGGCAATTCACAAAAGAATAAATACAATTGGTTAGTACAAGCATATGAAGAAATGGTCTCCCTCCCCAATATTCAGAGAAAGGCACATTAAAAGGAGACTGTTTTCCATTGTTAAAGAGTACTTCTTTTTAAATCTCCTGTATTTGGTGAGTATATCTGTTAAAAATCTTGGGGTGTGAGCAATGACAACTGGATTTTAGACTGTTCTCTAGAGCACTGCCTACTCTGTTCAGGATTCGAATGGAGGGTTGGACAGGTTAGCGGTCATGGAAGAGTGGCTCTTACGTGGGTTAAATGTCCTGACCTGTGATAGGGGAAGCACCTGGTGACTGGCAGCCAATCAGAATTACAGGAGGCAGGGCTCTGTGACCACCAAAGAAAGGGAGGCTGGTCAGACAAAAATAAGAGATGTCTCCTGAAGAGCAGGTGAAGGCTCTCACACGCTTATTTACTTCCTTCCTGAAATGCAATTTTAGGATATTCAAAGCCTGGAAAACTTTCCCGCCCTTGACCTAGCATTTCTTGTTTGTTTGTTTATTTTTGTTTTTGTGGACTTTTTATTGAGGTGGACTGACATATAACATTACATTTGTTTCAGGTGTATAACATGATTTGATGTTCTTATACATTGCGAAATGATCACCACCATAAGTCCAGTTAACTTCCGTCACCACACATAGCTACAAATTATTTTTCCTGTGATGAGAAATTTTAAAATCTACTCTCTTGTCAACTTTTATGCAATACCCTACTATTAACTATAGTCACCATGCTGTACATCACAACCTGGCACTTATTTACTTTGTAACTGGAAGTTTGTGCCTTTTGACTACCTAGCATTTCTAATTTGACAAATTTAACCCCAAGAAAATAGAGATAGGATTCAAAATATATGTACAAAGATTGCTGTCACAGCTTTACTTATGAGAGTGAAAAAAATGTGAAAATATGTTTCACAATAGGGAGCTGGTTATATATGTTTTGGTATATAAATCTTACAAAATACCATGCTACTGTTAGAAATGATGATATTGGAGGATACTTCATCACCCAGGAAAATGTCTAGAAAAAGCCTTTCTTTAATATACACATGTCGTTTGTCACCAGGAAAAAAAAAATGGCCTCATAAAATTCTCCTTCTAAATAAAACTGCCAAGGGGATGCTAAAATTCCAAAAGTGACATCAGATCGTAGAATTTAGGGCCCCTCTTTCCTGAAAGCGTAGAAGACAGCATGAGGGATTCAAGTTAAACCCAAAGAAGAACTTCCTGACTGTAAGGGTTATCCTGGACTGGGATATCCTCTTCCTTTCTCAGGGTCAGATTGCTTCCAAGGCCCAGGAACTGGTTGGGGACTGTGGGGAGGCAATGACAGAAGTCACAGCTTAGAAATTAACTGTGTGTCCTTGGCCTATGGTTTCCTCATCTTTCAAATAGGAAGGTGGGGAGAATGGTCTTGGCCTTCTCCCATCCTGGTACGGTACTGTGGTTCAGTGGGGTTTCTGCTTGGGGCCCTTTAGGACTCTGAGCCCCAGCTGCCTCTCTTTCACCAAATGATAGGAGCCAAATGATGTGAAATCTAAGGTGGGGTCTTTGGCTGAGATGATTTTCTTGCTCAGAATCCCTTAGGGCCAGGGAAGGGGGTCTCAGAGGCCACCTACATCTGTTGTGATCAGCAACTTCAGCCAAATCAAAAGCCTGTGCTTCAATCACCCTTGACAGCTGAGCCAGAGCCAGGCAGGGGGCAGTACTACCAGATGCCACTGGAGGTGATCTCATCAAAGGCAGGGCTCTCTCTCTCTTTCTCTCTCCCTTCCATGAGCGCCCAAGAGGAGAGGCCAGGGCTGGCCTCACTCACCATGCAGCCTGGGTCAGCCTTCTCTAGCAGGGAGCTCTGACCCGAGCCCTAATGCTTCCTAGGCACCCAGAGCTCGGCAAATCCTTGCCATTCAAAGCTGACATCTATCTCCTGTCTAAGCCATTGCTGGGGCTTCAAGATCTGAGAGCCAGGAGGGAGTATGTGACTCAGCAACCTTCACCCATTATGGAGATGAGAAAAACTGAGGCCCAATGAGGGTCAAGGGTTGCCCAAGATCACAGCTCAATCAGCAATACAGGCAGGACTGGAGCCTAGCCCCCAGAACCCTGGTCCTGCACCCACCCATCATCAATTCTTGCACAAGCATCCTTGCATTGAGGCTCTTGGGCAGGCGGGGTGGGGCCAGGATGAGGCAGACACGTACCACGTACCACGTACCACTCTATCCACCCCCTCTCCTTCCTTCCTTCCTTTACTCAGCTGCCTCCTGGAGGCCGCAGGTGTTAGTTAACTTAGGGGCCCCTGGGCCCTGACCTTAATAGGTACCGGCAGCAGAAATATGAGGGCCCAGAGCCTCCTCCTCCTGGTGGCCTTCCTGGCTTTGGGGAGTCAGCTGCCCGCTGCCTCGGGCAGGAGGAAGAGAGGTGAGTGAGGGTAGGTTCCTCTGCTCCAGGGACCTGGTGGTTTCTACCTCTCTGGGGAGCGTAAGGATTTGGGGGAGGCAGGCGATGCAGAGAGTGTGTGTGTGTGTGCGCGCGCGCGTGTGCGTGTGTGTGTGTGTGTGCGCGCGCGTGCGCGCGCCTGTGGGTGCCTGCTTCTTAGTGCTTCCAGCAGCTTGCGTGTTGTTTGTGCTTCTTTGTGCCCATCAGCCTGCCCACGTCTACATCTGTAAACGTCTCCCTGCCAGTTTCTTGGTGCTCGTCTGTGCCTGTCTACATGCTTGAGTGTGGGACTGTGGGTGCACGCATGCGTCTGTCTCTGTGGACACATATATCTTTGTGCCTCTGGGGTGGGGGGAGCAAACCTGTCTGTACCCCACTGCTCTGGTTGTCTCCATGGAGGTGTGTGGGTCTGTGGGTCCACATGGCAGGGGGATGACCCTTTCTGTCGCCTTCTGTGGCCAACAAGCCTGTGCCTGGTTTGGCCCCTGTCCATATTGTTTCCATCCTTCTCAGGCCCTCTCTGTCCCCCAGCCCAATCTGTGGAAGGGACTCTGAAAACGAGTAGGGGTGTGGTTTCTGGGATCTGTTGGGAGGATCTACCTGCTTCTCTTCTCCCCGCCTCCCCCAAAAGGCTGGGGCTGACCTATCAACACGTGAGGGAGGCTGGGAGGCCAGGGCTGCTGGAGTAGCTAGACAGGTGCCTCCCCACCCGAGCGAGGCCTCCACCTCCAACCCTGTCTGGGGCTGGAACACTTTGACCTACATACACCTGTGCAGCCCCGGCTCCACCTTGGGGACAGGTCCTGTCCTCCACAGGGCCCTGGGGAGCAGTTCCCTGCATCCTCTTTGCCCCCTTTAGCCTCACTGATGCCTCCCTCAGAGGCAGGGCCCCCAGGCTGAGGCGGGAAGGATGCTGGCAAGTTCCAAGGCCAGACCCCATGCTGGCTGTGATTCATATGCCATCCTCTTCTTTGCTGCATTCTGTGCTGCATTGGCCACATTCCTCTTTGCTGCAATGCTGTGAAGTCACAACTATTTTTATTCCCATTTTGCAGATGAGGAAACCGAGGCTCATTAGGAAACCACTTGCCAGAGGCCGAAGACTGACTCTGAGTCAGGGTCAAGGGTGGCAGTTGAGGGCAGGTCTTTGGAATCAGGCAGACTCACCTCCCAAACCTAGTCCTTGTAAAATGAGGTGTCATGCCTCTCTCTCAGGAGTAGATGGTGTCTTGAGGAATAAAACACGCTTGCCTCCCCCAAACTCATCGCATCTCCGTCCTTCCCTGATTCTCCCCATGTGACCTCAGCCTGGCTCTCCGTAGAATTTTAGACACTGGAGGGAAGTGGCAGAGTGGAGGGAAGGGACGTCTCGGTTTATTTTCTGTGGAAGCACCGCTACCTCTGTTTATAAGGTTCCTCCCACACACTCAAATGTGCCTGGGTGTCTCTGACATAAAGAACCTGGTACAGTCCCTGGTAGATAGTAAGTGCCTAACAAGTGTTTTCAATGGTTATATTGTATTGGTGTAGCTCTGTGCGTATGATTGTGCGGAAGACTGTGTATGCACATTCACGTCTCTCTTCACATCCTATGTATGCTATGTGTTTACAGACACGTACACATGACTATGTATGTCTGAGTATGTGTTAACTTGTGTGTATATGTATTTCTGTGTATAGGCATGTATATATGGCAGTATGACTGCATATTTCACTCTGTACATATGTCCCAGTTCTTATGTACATGACTGTCTATATTTATACATACATATAATGATCTTGTGTATGTGTGTGTGTGTATACGTATAGGTCAAACCATGTGAAATTGCCATTTTTGTAGATCAAAAAAGTTGAATATCAGCATTTCATGTGGTTAAGCCCATAGCTAACTGTGTTACACATCTAAGTGTGTTTGCATATTTGACTATGTATGCATATTAATGCCTTTGTGCATAAATATGTATATTTAACTGTGACTGGGTATGACTCTCTCATCCTCTGAGTCAGCACAGCCAGGAGTCACGCATGTGCTGTGTGGCTGTCAGTGTGTGTACGTGGCTGTGGGAACCTGGATTTGGGGGGGAGGGAAGGAAAGGCAGAGGAAGACTTGAGTGTACCCCAGACCCTCTCACACTGTCCCTGTACACTGCAGGCTCTTATCCTCCATCACACTGTTGCTGCCCCGGTTCTCCCCCACTTGAAACACCAGTTTTCATCCTCCCTTCCTGCCTTTCTGTTCCTCAAGACTCAGGTCCTGGTCCCAGAAGCTCTCCCTGGCACCATGGCCTGATCCACCCAGCCCGCAGGGAGCTCCCGCTTTGAATACAGGCAGCTCGGTCAGGCCCACTCTTTGAGGCCTGAGCCCCTCTGGCCAGGGTTATACCCTGGACACTCAGCACCCCCAGCCTGGGAAGGAGAGGCTAATCAGTGAAGGGGGCTCCCCCACAGGCTAAGCTGCTCTTTCTCCAGCAGGGGACAGCACTTCAGTTTAAGCCAACCCAATGGCACAAGGGAAGTTGACTTTGAGCACTTACTGTATAAGCACAGTGCCTACTATGTGTGCAGCCAGTACCCAGTCCGGGGCTGGAGGGGAAAGGTGGGCACAAGGTAAAGTCACAGCACTGTATCCAGCTGCTGCTGGGGGTCCTGGAACCTGTTCTCAGATGCCAGGCTGAAGGGAAGGCCTGGGACCAGTCCTGGTCCCCAGGGCTCAGTGGCGGCCAGGGTAGAGAGGTGTGTAGGTCAGAGGAAGCACCCGCCCCCGGGGAGATGAGGTCTCAGAGTCCTCCTTCTGAGTCAAGCCCCAATTCCTCCTTCTAAATGGAGGATGATACTGATGCCAACCTGCATAAAGTCTGGAAATGGCCTAAAATCCTAACAAGAAGAGTAGCTTGGTAAGCTCCCAGACAGAACTTTCTAGAGCCATTGAGAGACTGTCTGAAAGACCGAGTTAATACAGATCTCTGTGCCACTTGCAACAGTGACAAACCCAGTGTAGATGTGGCCGACTGTGGCTGTGTGACAATGCACCGGGATGCCAACAGCTGACATACCTGTGATGCTGGCTCTCGCTTCAAAACCCTTTCTTTCCAATAGTCACTAAGCCCCTAGTGTTTTGTTCAAGGGCTGTGCTTCAGCTTAATGGTGAGCAAAGCAGGCAGTGGGGGTCTATTCTCATAGCCTCTAGTCAAGTGAGAGAAGCAGACAAACAGAGGCAGCCACAAACTGAAGGAAAGCTCCTTTGGGAGTGTGTTGGGTGGGGTGTTTCAGCTGAGACCTGACACATGGGGTGTAGCAGAGCCCCGGGCAAAGGGCACAGCCAACGCAAGGCCAAGCAGAGAGAAGCGGCTTGGAGTGGGTCAGGAGCCACAGAGAGTGAGGCCAGAGACAGGCAGGGGCCAGGCCAGGTGTGGCCTTGTGGCACAGCTGGAGACGTAGGACTTCATTTTTCCCTAAACTTTATGTCGTCTGAGTCTCAAACCAGATGGGAAGGAAGGAGTCCGGCTTCCCATTTCACAGACAGAAAATGGAGGCTTGGAGTTAAAAAACAGAAAACAAAAATCTCTACGGCATTTGTGACAACATGGATGGACCTACAGGGCATTATGCTGAGTAAAATAAGGCAGACGGAGAAAGATAAATACCATATAACCTCACTTATACGTGGAACAAACAAAGGGCCGGCCGAGTGGCTCAGTTGGTTGAGCTCACTCAAGAGCGTGAGCTCTGAGCAACAGGGTTGCCGGTTTGATTCCCGGCCTGAGCTGAGCTGCCGCTGAGCCACCAATAGGCGGCAGGATGGCTCAGCTAAAAAGTAAACAAACAAACAAACAAACAAATAAATAAAATAAAATAAAAAACAAACAAACAGGTTGGTGGTTGCCAGAGTGGAGGGATGGGGTGGGTGGGTGAAATGGATGAAGGGGCTCAAAAGGTACAAACTTCCAGTTATAAAGTAATAAGCCCTGGGGATGTAATATACAGCACGGTATCAACAGTTAATAATACTGTACTGCACATTGAAAGTTACCAAGAAAGTAGATCTTAAACGTTTCGTCACAAGAAAAATAAATTTTTACCAATGTATGGTGGCAAATATTATCTAGACCTCTTGTGGTGATCGCTCTGCAATAAATACAAATATCGAATTATTACATTGTACACCTGAAACTAATATAATGTTAGATGTCAGTCATATCTCAATTTTAAAACAAAACCCTAAATAAAAATAAATAAATAAAAGCAAATCCATCCCCCAAAATAAAAATTATAACTTGCCGAAGGACAGGCAAGAACTAAGGGGCGGAGAATTCAGAGCTTGTGATTCCCAGGTCATTGCTTATTACTTCACTCTGAACTGCCTCCAGCTGCAAGATTTGGGGGGTTCTCTTACAGTGAAATCTGGGGGATGTCCACCGGACGATGGGCCCTGCCTCCAGTCGGTGCCTGACCAGTGCGTAGATGATAGCCAGTGTCCCTCAAAGATGAAGTGCTGCTCCCAAAGTTGCTTCCGCCAGTGCGTCCGTAGGGTTGCAGGTAAGTATAACCCACCTTGCTGACTGCCCAAGCCCCGAGCCCCAGGGCCAGGGCACAGGCAGGGCTCACCTAAGCCCCTGTGTTGCAGTTAAGCTGGGCACCTGCCCGGAGGAACGATTCTACTGCCTCAGCCCCATTCAGCACCTGTGTCACAACGACTCAGACTGCCGGGGCAATAGTCGGTGCTGCCTCGGCGCCTGCGGCCGGGACTGCCGAAGCCCTGTCGGAGGTATGGCTCCTGTGTGCTGGGCCCCAGCTCTAAGATAGCCTTCTAGTTCCACAAGCTTAGCGGCATACCTTTCCAGGAGGCTGGTCCCCCCTGTGACCAGAATTGGGGGAAGTAGATGGGGTAGAAAGGGTCCTGTTAGGGCGATGGAGGAACTGGGGATCCTTGGTTCTCTTCGTGAACTTGCTGTGTCCCCTGGACCACAACTCTAAGCTTTAATCTGCCCTTGTGAAGGAGGGTGGGGAGTCCTGCCTTAGGGCCGCCAGGGCTGGGCTGATGGGGTCCGGATGGGCGATCAAGCCCAGAACTCAGAGCCCTGTTAGGGAAGGAGGTTAGCCCTTTCTTTCTCTCTCCTCAGGCTAATTCTGGTTTAGGATCCATGGCTCTGAACCTCAGGATGGGGTTCCCAGCAGGAAGAGATGACGATGGAGGGGCCTGGGACTCTGCCACCCAGACAGCACCATCTCTGCCAGCAACGGTTCCAACCCTTTGATAAACACTGATCTGCTGTCACCTCCCCTGCAGCCCATCCACTCCTGGTTTTTCCTTCTGGGAGTCAAGGTTCAGAGTCAGACCTCAAAGGGGTTCCTCTCTGTACCACTGCCACACTGAGCTGCTCATCCTCCCAACACCCACTTTCACATCTCTTTGTACCTGGGTTTTTCCACTTAAAATGCTCAATTTGGGTAGGCTTCTCCTCATGGGGTCCTGACCCCTCCCCCAGGTTGTTATGTTCTAGCAGAGTTTCCCAAACATCAGCCTGTTCACATACCCCTTTCACAGTTTTTACCATACTTGCCAAATAGCATCATAATACCTTGTGTTCTGCCTGCACTCTTATTTGTCTAATGTTTTTCCTTAAATGGACTCACTTTTGTATATAAATAAATTTACTTCAAAAGAAAAACTTGATATCACTTGTAAATGGGACAAGCAGGCTCACTTGCCACAAATAGATTAAAATTATAAAAGCAAATGCAATGAAAACAGCTAAGTTCCATTAAAATCATGTCTGATTAAGCAACATTAAATAACGTTATTAAATTCTAGCTAGATACTGCCACCTGCCAAGACTGTGAGCCTGAAGCCTGCTTTCTGTTTGTTGTAATAAATGAAGGTTGGTAAGGGTTATAGAGATGTTAAAGGCACAGTTCTCTAACCTGAGATGGTCTTCCTGATGTAATATAAGCAGAAGGACTGAAAAGAGAGGAGCTTTCTCACTCCAGGAGTCAGTGTTGTATAAGGCTGCATCCAGGTACACCCTAAGGACACTTCAAATCGCTCCATATTTGGGGACATGTTGCTTGAGCAGCTGGGATGTCATTATTTTGGGGGTGGGTCTGTCTCCACCACTGGACAAGACCTCACTCACCTTGATATCTTGAGAGCCTGGTCTGCAGTCAGGACCTAATGAGAGGGAATGACAGCCAACACAATGGATATTTCTGGACCCAGCTAGCTGGATTCATGACTGTCCCTTTTACCCAGGACTCGCTTGGGAGAGGGAAGGAAGCCGGTGGATTGCTCCCTGCTGTACTCGCCTCTTGGGTTCTGATAGAATCTGGGGCTGGACAGTCAACAGTGGAGGCGAACTGGGAATCCTAGGTCTTCCTTGTTCCCTTGACCTTGCAGTGTGGTCACAGGTGAGTGACACTGCACTTCTGGAAAGAACTCTACTTCCTCACTGCCACTGTCCTTGTTGTAGGGTTCAGATGCCGGAGCTGTTGGTTCAAAAGCAGCAAATGCTAATTATATGTGGATACAAGGTGAGGCCTAGGAGGGAGGAGAGGGGAATAATTCGAGGTCACTGATTCCCTGTGAAAGTGAATGTTTCCCTTACTCTTTCTGGACCTCAGTTTCCCCATCTATAAAACTCAGGTGCTTAACAGATAATACTGTACATGTGCTGTTTGCCCACAATCACCCTTCCCTCCCTGAGGGAGATTATACATCTATGGCCCAGTGAGTGATTTGGGGCTTGCCTCTGGGACTTGTTTTGGCTAAAGGGATGTGGATGCAAGTGGCAATTCAAGGCAAGGTGACAGCTTCTTGCAACTTCCACCCTCTGCCATGAGATGAGCTTGCCCAGATGCCACTGTTCTCAGGATGAAAGACACCTGGGGGAGGTGGAGCTATCCCAGCCAATCCTTCAACTTGCAAGAGGGAAATCCATGTTTGTGACCGGAAGCCAGTGAGATTTGGGGCTTGTTTGTTACAGATTTATCTCACTTAGAGCTTGTCTAATTCAGATAACAATTATTCTTTAGTGAATGCCCACTCTATGCCTTACACTTGAAAACATGATTTCATTTGTCCATCCTGTAACAGCTTGACAATGAAGAAACACAGGCTTTGAGATAAGTGACTTGTCCAAAATTTCCAGTTAGAGGTGAAATAGCCAGGATTAAACCATCCCATGTGCCTCCTTAGATAGGGATAAAATCAGCAACTGTTAAAGTTACAGCACACTTACCTTGTGCCAGAAGTCATTTAAATTACTTTACATGTATAATCTCATTAAATCCTCACAGCTGCACTATGTAGGCTTTATAGTTTTTGCACATATGGGGAAACTGGGGCATGAAGTGGTTAATTTGGCCAAGGTTGCACAGCTTATAATTAGTAAAGCTAGGATTCAGCCCCAAGGAGTCTGACGCGAAAGCTTATAACCTTAACTGACCACAGTAATTACATTCTTTTGGAAATTCCTCCCAGCCCTACAGACCATCTCCACATCTGAAAAATGGAGATGACAAAGACCCAAGAAGGTTAAGGGACCATCCTCAATTCTAGGCAACTGGAACCCGAGCTTGTTGGTTCACTGCTCATTGCTTTGGGTTTCTCTTTTTAAAGGCATCAGGAAAAAAATTAAGGGGCCCCAGGAGGAGCTGCTAAGGGGCCCGTGGCTGTCCTCAGGGCTAGTGTCCTTCAGCAGCAGGAGGTGGCAGGTCACAGGTCATGGCTTCTCTGGCTATCGGTGGCAGCATCTACACAGGCCATTCTAGAGTCATCTGCTCAGCTTCCTCGCTAACTCACGACCTGTTCCATTAGGTCTGTGCATTGGTCTGTGCCGTGCCAGCTGTGTCCTCAGTTACCGAATTCCAGCCCGTCCAGCTCCATCTCTGCTGCCTGTCTCCATCGCCCTTCGGGAAAGTCTCCTGGGAGGTTGGACACCTGGGGTAAGAGCCTGGGTTTTCAAGCTCCAGTCTTTTTTTTTTTTTTTTTAATTGGGGAATTGGGGGAAGGGGAACAGACAAGTTGTTGTTGTTTTGTTCTTCGGTCTAGTTATGGAGGACGTTGCTTCACTGGCCCAAGTTGGCACCAGCATTGCGCTCTTCCCGGGGGAGGCAGATCAGTTGCCGGCTTCCGGACGGCCGCTCACTGCGGCTGCTGGCTACACACGGTAGCCCATGGCAACCCACTGCCACAGGGGCTGCAGCCTACGCTGTCGCCGGTGACTCACAGCAGCCCAGCTCCAGGTTGAGCTGTTGTTCAGCATCTTAGCTGTGGAGGGCAGTGTCACTGGCCCTCATATGTGGGATCCGAACCGGGGCCCTCTGGCGTCCCAAGCCAGTTCTTAACCACCGCGCCACTCAGCCGGCCCTCAAGCTCCAATCTTGTTTTCCTCCCTCACTCAATCAATGTTTGCTGAGCACTTAGTACAGGCTGTAGGCTGTGTCTTCACAGAGCTCGTGCACTAGAGGATGAGACAAAACTTTAATTCAAGAGGTGCATGATATGTATCAGACTAGAGGAACTCAGGAGACTATGGGAGGCCTGGAGGGACCTAACTCAGCCTGGAGACCAGAGAAGGCTTCCTGAAGGAGGTGATAGCCAACCAAGATCTAGAGTCTTAGTAGGAGTCAGCCAAGTATGACACTACTAGTCATCCATTCTCCCCTTCTTCCTTACTAACAGCAATGTCTCCAGTTAGAAATATTTGCCCACCCCCTGCCCCCGCAAACTACTGGGATGTTGGTGACATTCTATATATATATATATTTTTAAGATTTTTATTGGGGTATCGGGGGGAAGGGAACAGTGCTGGGGAATTGGGGGAGGGGAACAGACAAGTTGCTGTCGTTTTGTTCTTCAGTCTAGTTGTGGAGGACGTTGCTTCACTGGCCCAAGTTGGCACCATCATCGCGCTCTTCCCGGGCAAGGCAGATCAGTCGCCGGTTTCTGGACGGCCGCTCACTGCGGCTGCTGGCCACTCACGCTGGCTGCTGTCTACACACGGTAGCCCATGGCAACCCACTGCCACAGGGGCTGCAGCCTACGCCGTCGCCGGCGACTCAAAGCAGCCCAGCTCCAGGTTGAGCTGTTCAGCATCTTAGCTGTGGAGGGCAGTGTCACTGGCCCTCATATGTGGGATCCGAACCGGGGCCCTCTGGCATCCCAAGCCAGTTCTTAACCATCGCGCCACTCGGCCGGCCCGTGACATTCTATATTTTGACGTGAGTGGCAGTCAAATGGATGCATAAATTTCTAAAAAAACAAATTCAGCTGTAACTTAAGATTTGTGCAGCTTCCTATAAGAACATTATACTTCAAATTTAAAAAGTAAATTAAATTTTAAAAAGTCATTTCCTTTCCAGGCTCCCTTGCAGCTAGGGATAGCCATGTGACCCAGGACTAGTCAATCAGAAGTTAGGGGTAGTCTACTGGGAGGGGCTTCCCACAAAGCTATTGTTTTCCTAACAAATGAGACAGACTCAGCCTTTTTGCCCATCATTCATTTGCCCTTCGTCCTTCCTGGAACATGCCTGCTGCAACCAGAACAGCTATTTAGTGACCTTGAGGATTGTCTTAGGTAGGTTTTCAGAAGCAAATCTTGAGATGAAGATTCACAGGATGGTGATGTTTTGGAAATGCTCCCAGGAAAAATGGGTATAGGAGTGCAGAAGTATACCAGGAAAGGAAGAAGGCCACTAAGGTGTGACATCAAGCAAAGTCTCACAGGAGGATTCTAGGGACAAGTGTAGGTGACTCTTCCGAGTTGTCCCTGTGGGGCAAGGGTGATGGAGCATTTATGCTTCTGAACCCCTTAGTCATCAGTTAAGAACTACAGGCTGGGGAGACATAAATTTCCGGGCATTTAAGGTTCTCCCTGTGTGGGGGCATAGCCAGCTCCGGCAGTCTTACAGAAGTCCTTTGACAAAGATGCTAGCTGTTGGCAGGGAAAGCATGCCAGGGGCCAGTGCACAGAAGTGGTAAAAGGATCCGAGGGGATACGGGCAAAGTTCTGACATCATCTGCTACTAGAATGAAGGCCACACAAGGCTAGTGGAGGAGGAAGTGACAAGGAGGCTGGGTCTTCAATACCATCCATGGGCAGCTGCACCACCTCTAGACTCCCCCATAAAACTCAGTTCCTCTCTGATTAAGCCACTACAGTTCATCTTTTGTGCTTGCAGCTAAATTAAATCGTAACTGCTATACTGGGTTAAGAAAGAGCAGGAAGAGTTGTTCATGGAGGGGAACAGCACGTGCTACTCCTCACCACAGCCCTGAAAGGTACGTACCGCCTCCAATCTACAGATGAGGGAGATACGAATTCAAGAAAAGACATCACTTGGCCCATGGTCCCATAGCAGTTTAGTGGTTAAAGGCAGGATTCAAACCCAGTGTACTAATTATCTACTTTTGTAATTTGTAGTAACAAATTACTACACACGTAGCAGCTCAAAACAATACACATTTCTTATCTCACAGTTTCTGTGTGTCAAGAATCCAGGCACAGCTAAGTGGGGTCCTCAGCTTTCGGGTCCTACAAGGCTGAAATCAAGGTGCTAGTATGGGCTGGAGTCTCATTTGAGCCTCAACTGGAGAAGGATCCACTTTCAAGTTCATGTGGCTGTTGGCAGCGTTCCAGTTTCTGCAGGGCATCTGAATTGAATTCCTCCGCGCCCACCTGGCTGTTGGCCAGAAATCGCCCATACTTCCTTGCCTTTCCAGTATGGCAACTTGCTTCATCAAAGCCAGCAGGAAGTCACGGTCTTATGTAACCTCATCCTCAAAGTGACATTCCATCACTTTTGTCATATTCTGTCCATTTGTCATATTCTGTCCATTAGAGACAAATCAAGATGTCCTGCCCACACTCAAGGGAAAGGGTTACACAAGGGTGTAAATACCAGAAGGCAAACATCACTGGGGGATATTCTTGAAGCTGCCTGCCATACCCAGGTCCTACTTAATTCCAGAAATTTCTGTACTTTATGCAACATCAAGCTTATTCTTTAGGGTCAAACCCCATGGGTTCAGATGTCCATTCAGTCCCAGGGACTGAAGGAGAATTTGGGGGGACAGCCCATCCATGACATTGATACCTTTAGCCCCAGAGGCCCATATGCCCCTCTTCCCACTCCTATCACTCACGAATTCATCTAAAACTCGTTACCTCCCACAGAATGATCTGGGGACAAAAACCATATCCTGATGCCATTTTCTCCTGCCCCTGGGAAACAGGTCTGTCATTTCTCTTTTGGAAATAACCTCTCCAATTCCAGGGGGAAGTCCCTGAGTTTTGGAGGTCGTGAAGGCCACAGGCAGACGACTAGGCCAGGAAACGGGAGACCTGCTTCTGCGCAGATCTGCCTCAGTTTCCTTGTTGGTAAAATGATGGAATTGGGCGAGGTTATCACTAAGCATCTTCCTGCTCCTCCTAGGGAAGACCTAACAGTGACACAGCCTAGCGCTGAGCTGTCCAATATGGTAGCCACTAGCCACATGTGGCTCCTGGGCATGTGAAATGGGATTAGTGAGATTTATTGTAGGTGGATGTAGTAGAAAGAGTTCTAAGATGATTGCCAGTGATCCTTGCCCATGTGTAATGTTTGAGTGTAGATGGAACCTGTGAATGTGTGTTGTATAGCGAAGGGGAGATTGTCCTGGGTGGGCCTGGCCTAAGCAGGCGAGTCCTTTAAAAGCAGAGAATTTTCTCTGGCTGGTCACAGAAGAGGAGGTGAGCACTCTGGTGTGCCTAGAAGAAAGCGATTCTCCTCCTGATGAACTGCTTGTGGGGCCCTATGGTAAGGAACCAGAGGTCCTCTAGGAGCTGAGCGTGATCCCCAGCACATGGCTGGCAGGAGAAGGAGGACCTCAGTCCTACAACCACATTGAAATGAATTCTGCCAATAATTTGTGAGCTTGGAAGAGAACCACAGCCCTGGCTGACACTTTGACTTCAACCGGGTGAGACCCTGAATAGAGAATCCAGTCACGCCATGCCCAGACTTTTGACCTATAGAAACTGTGAAGTAATAAATTTGTATTGGGGCTGGCCGGATGGCGCAGTTGCTTAGAGTGCGAGCTCTGAGCAACAGGGTCGCCGGTTCGATTCCAACATGGGCCAGTGAGCTGCATCCGCGATGAGCTGCTACAGAGCTGCCAACGGGTGGCTGGATGGCTCAGTTGGTTAGAGCATGTGCTCTTAACAACAAGGTTGCTGGTTCAACTCCCTTATGGGATGGTGGGCTGCGGCCCCCTGCAACTAGATTGAAAGCGGCAACTGGACTTCAAGCTGAGCTTGTGGCCTCCACAACTAAGATTGAAGGACAACAACTTGACTTGGAGCTGATGGGTCCTGGAAAAACACAATGTTCCCCTTCCCCCATTCCCCAACTCTGTTCCCCTCCCCAATTCCCCAACACTGTTCCCCTTCCCCAATTCCCCAATAAAATCTTAAAAAATAATTACAAATAAATAAATAAATTTGTATTGTTTTAAGTTACTGTTTGCGGTAATTTGTTACATAGTAATAAACAAAACCGAATGCAGTGAATTTTGAAGACTTCATACAAAAATGAAAATGTAAAATAGCTCATTAATAATTTCTTTATTGATTCCATGTTGAAATTATAATATTTTGGATATACTGGATTAAATAAAATACATTAAGACTAATTTCATCTGTTTTCTTTTCACGTTTTTAAAACGTGGCTATCTGAACATTTTCAATGATGTGTGGCTCACATGACAGCTGTTGGACAGTGATGGTCTAGAGGACTCAGAACTGAGCTATATGACCCTGGGAGAGTCACTTGACCTCTCCAAGCCTTACAATTCTTACCTGTGAGGTTGGAATAATAATAGCACCTGCCCCACAGCTATAGTTGCAGCTTAAATGAGATGAGACCTGTAGAATACTTAGCCCAAGGTAAGTGCTCAATAAATGTTGGTCATTATTATCATTAATAGCAATTAATATTTGTAAAGTAGGAATCCTTCCTTGTATCCAGGTTCTAACCTCCAGGACCTCTCCCCAACCAGGTACACAATAGGCACTCAATAAATGCTTGTAGATTATGCAATACTGACAAAGCCCTTTGGCACAGTTCTCCCTTATGCTCACAACCCATCCGAAAGGTGGGAATCAGGAACCCGCGGGCAGGTGGGGAGACTGAGCTTCAGGGGGCAAAGTGATCTGTGCCAGGCTGCGCAACCAGCAGGGGAAGAATCTGGTCTTGGCCGGCTCAGGCAGAGCCCAGGGCTCATTGTGGTGGTGGTGGTTGGGGGGTAGGGAGGCGGGGGAGGCCATCTTCTCCAATTCCCTAATCCCGATGCCCTCCCGCAGTGTTGGAAAAAGTGAGTTTAATTCCGGGGCCACAACTCCTAGCTGAGCCCTGAGCAAGTGACTGGGTCTCCTCTGGAAAACGGGAAACATAAGACCTTCTCCCTGTCAAGTTTGTGTCAGCAATATAACTTAGATAAGTCACTGAAGCAGAATGCCTGGCACACACCAACTTAGGAAGCTATTATCACTGTTGTTCCTTTGTCAGAGAAGCTCCAGCTGAAATCCTTCTCTACCGGGTACCCCTCCCCTAGATGACCCTTCGTCCCCTGGCTTGGGGGAATGCCCCATCTGTAGGGCCCAGTCTCCAAATCCCCCCACCCCCAACTTAGTAATAGAAACCACAGCCTCCTGCGGCGGCCGGCCTCCCTCCCTCTCCGGCAGCGATCGATGCGGCCTCAGCCGCGGGGGACGGAGGAAGACAGGGAAGGGGGGGGCGGGCAGCGGGGCCTCCGCACAGCGAGGCTCGGCGGGGCCGCCGGGGCAGAGACCGGCCCGGGTGCGCCAGCGGCTTCCAAGCCTCGGGGCTTCCGGAGGGGCAGCGACAGGTAAGGGACCTCCCTCCGGGAGGGGCGTGGTCTGGGGAAGGGGACGGGGCTGCGAGAGTGGCAGGCGGAGGCTGCCACCGGTTCCTGGTGCCTGTGCCCCTTTCGTGAGACCCCTAAGGAGGTAGCAATGTGGGATGACCGTGCTTTGGGGCTGGTCCTGTTGGCGCATCTGTAAAGCGGATTAGAAAACCTTCCTGGCAGGGTTGGGGTAGGGACTCAACTCAGTGAAAAGTACATGTTGCCCAGCGAAGTGGCCAGCACATAGTAGGTGATCACAATAAGTGTGGAGAGGGTTTTGAATCACAAAACCTAGTTTCCAGTATTGCCTGTGCCATGGATGAGCTGGATAATCTTGGGCAAATCACTTAATCTTTTTTGCTGATACTCAGATTCTTGATGGGGAAAGTTTGTTGAATTAATTCTCTCATTTCATAGAGCAGGAAGGTGCGATCCAGAGAGAGGAGATTTGCCTATGGTGCAGCAGCTAATGGGGTAATGGAACTGGAATTAGAAGCTTCATTTTTGGATGCCAAGTCCAGGCGGAGGGGTGGGAGGGCAGCTGTAGCCCACATGTGTTTAGTGTGCCGAGTTTATATTCCAGGGACTGTGCTGCTGATAAACATCTTGCCTCATGTAAGCCTCATAATCTCTCAGGGAAAGGATATGTCCTCCAGTTTACAGATGGGGAGACTGAAGCTCAGAGGAGGGGATGGATCAGCTCAAGGTCAACAGTAAGCGGCAGGCTCAGAATTGGAACCCAGGCCTGACCAGAGAGACACGCAAGGGATTAACATTTACTGAGCACCTACTGTGTTCCAGGGGCTTTGCACACATACTCAATGATAACCCTTCAACCTGAAGTGCTGTTGTCCTCATTCTATAGATAAGAGAGCGAAAGCCCAGAGCGGGAGGAGACTGACACTGGCCTGCGGTCACACAAGTGACAGAGCTAAGGATGAAACCCCGACCTGCTTAACACCAACGCACAGGGTAAGTGAAGGGCACTCCATTCAATCCTTGCTAGGCACTGGGCCAACTGCTTTCTGTACACTCAATCCCCATCCAGCCGGGGAAGAAGGCCTTACTGAACCCACAGTAGATGGCACTGCCGAGGTCAGGAGGTTAGAAACAGCAGAGCTTAGAAACAGCGGGCTGTGGCAGGATTTCCTGAGCTTCCACTAAGGCTGAGCCTTCCATACCCTACCTTGATCCTCCAGTCTTCCTTGACGGCAGGTGCTATTCACTGTGCAGGAAACTGAGACCTGTAGAAAAGTAGCTGCCTTAAGGCACCAGGTGCATCTGGGATGGAGATAAACCCAGGTTTGCCTGACACCGGGAGACAGTGAAACAGGTGGATAATTCCTTTAACCTCTTCTGGGAGCCAGGCCCAATAAAGACATTAGTTCATCTCACCTTTTTAACCACAGTTGTTGGTGGATATTTTTATCTCCACTCGACAGAAGCTCAGAGAGGTGGCATGACTTGCCTATGGTCACACAAGAAAGGCAAAGTTCAGTGTGACTGACTATGGATAGTGTAAGCCAATGGCTCTCATGCGTCAAAATCACCCTTCAAGCTTCTTAAACTCAGACGGCTGGACGCATCCCCTGAGTTTCTGATTCAGCAAGTCTAGAGCAGGCTGAGAATTTGCATCTTTGACAAACTTCCAGGTGATGCTGTTGCTGCTAGTCCAGGGAACACACTCAGAGAACTACGGGTCTGCAGCGATTCTCCCAGCAACCCCGGGTGGTAAAGAAGCATCGCTATCCTCGTCTCGCTGCGGAGGAAACAGGTTCAGAGTGCTGGAGCGTCCGAGATCCCACAGTAGACTTCTGGGATACGAACATCTAAGTTTGTCTGGAAAGGGGAAACATCCTGTATGAGCACTCTCCCAGGGGCCAGGACATCCTGCCATTCAACCACTTTCATAATCCTCCAAGGTAGACTCAGCATTTGTTTTATGCCAGTGAAAAGGGGGTGGGGAGGGCCAGTGACTTGGCCAAAGTCCCCCAGTTGGGAAGTGAGGGCTGGTCAAACCCAAGCCTGACTCTTGAGTTCAGAGAGCACTTGATACCTATGAGCGCCTACTGCATGCCAGACGCTTCACACCGCGCCTCCAATACCCCTGGCTGGTGGATGGGGCAGGGGATTTGAACTCGGGTCTTCCTGGAAGGGAGGCTCGGAGACCGCCCCTCAGCACGCCCCTCCCATGTCCGCAGACCAGCGCGCTCCAGCCATGGTGAGCGAGTCCCCGGGGCCCGGCGCCAGGGTCCCCTGGAGGCGAAGCGACGAGGCGCTGCGCGTGAACGTGGGCGGCGTGCGGCGGCGGCTCAGCGCGCGCGCCCTGGCGCGCTTTCCGGGCACGCGGCTGGGCCGCCTGCAGGCCGCGGCGTCCGAGGAGCAGGCGCGGCGCCTGTGCGACGACTACGACGCGACGGCACGCGAGTTTTACTTCGACCGGCACCCGGGCTTCTTCCTCGGGCTGCTGCACTTCTACCGCACCGGCCACCTGCACGTGCTCGACGAGCTGTGCGTCTTCGCCTTCGGTCAGGAGGCCGACTACTGGGGCCTGGGCGAGAGCGCGCTGGCCACGTGCTGCCGCGCGCGCTACCAGGAGCGGCGCGTGGCGCGGCCGCGCGCCTGGGACGAGGACAGCGATGCGCCGAGCAGCGTGGACCCGAGCCCCGGCGAGATCTCCGACGTGCAGCGCGAGCTGGCGCGCTACGGCGCGGCGCGTTGCGGCCGCTTGCGTCGCCGCCTCTGGCTTACCATGGAGAACCCGGGCTACTCGTTGCCCAGCAAGCTCTTCAGCTGCGTCTCCATCGGCGTGGTGCTCGCCTCCATCGCCGCTATGTGCATCCACAGCCTGCCTGAGTACCAGGCCCGCGAAGCGGAGGCCGCCGCGGCTGCGGTGGCCGCGGGCCGCAGCCCGGAAGAGGTGCGCGACGACCCTGTGCTGCGGCGCTTGGAGTACTTCTGCATCGCCTGGTTCAGCTTCGAGGTGTCGTCGCGCCTCCTGCTGGCGCCCAGCACGCGTAACTTCTTCTGCCACCCCCTCAACCTCATCGACATCGTGTCGGTGCTGCCTTTCTATCTAACGCTGATGGCTGGAGCGGCTCTTGGCGACCAGGGAGGCACGGGCGGCGAGGAGCTCGGCGACCTGGGCAAGGTGGTGCAGGTGTTCCGCCTCATGCGCATCTTCCGCGTGCTCAAGTTGGCGCGCCACTCCACGGGGCTGCGATCGCTGGGCGCCACGCTCAAGGTAGGGCCTCTGAGGTTGGGAGTCAAGGGGGAGCAGGTGGTGTAACCATCCGGCAGGTTAGCAGGTGAACTTAGCAGGTTAGCAGGTTAAAAGTCCAGGCACACAGTGAACTGAAACGACATCCTTTGTGCCAGGCACAGGGCTAGAGACCGATTGTACATTTCAGGTCCAGTCTGACCTTCCCAACAGCCCAGTAAGGAAGGGCTTCTGGTTATCTCTATTTCCCAGGGGGAGAAAACAGAGGCAGCGCTTTGTTGGTCTTTATTAAAAAAGAAAAAAAGACAAAGGTCACTGTTGCTCTACCTGTCAATCACCAAATAAACATAGCACAAGAATATGCAAAGCAAGATGCTAACTGGCTTCTCCACTGAGCCTTTCTTCTGACATCAGGAGGCACAGATAGCGTAGGTCACCCTTAATAGGCCAAGTCTAGCAATAGCCCCAGAGCTAACGCTAAGTGCTAATTCTGTGCCAATTTCATATCCATTATTGATCCTCAAGACAACTTCCTCAGGAAGATGCTATTATTTACTCCCTTCCCGTAGATGAAGAACCTGAAGTTGAAGGGTTGGCTTTTTTAGGCCTGGTTGCAATTTACTGAGCACCCTCCTTGTGCCAGGCCCTGCACTGAGGGCGAATCACTGCCCTGGCGAGCCTACCCTTCAGCGGGTGAAATTAGCTTGGTTTGGGGAGGGAGGACATGTGAACAGCTTGGACAAAGGCCTGAAGAGAGGACAGGATGAATGCTGGGAGGGGGACACGGAGGGAAGGGGTACCAATTGATGAGGTTAAAGAGGTGAATGGGAGAGGGTATTGAAGGGCATGAACTCTTGGCCCGGGATTTTGGACTTTATCCTGAGGGAATAGGGGAGCCTATGAGGGGTTTAAGCAGGGGCAAGTATTATTGTCATTAGTTAGCAGATGTGGAAACTGAGGCACCAGGAGGTGACAGGACTTGTCAGAAGTTCCTCAGTAAGTGGCAGAGCCTAGAGAAGAACCCAGCAATGCCTGACTGCAGCACCTCATGTTCTTTCTCCTAGAGCCCCATGTAACCCTGCTAAGGATTCCTAGAAGGTGCTCTCAAGTTCCCCTTCCACCCACGGCTTAGTAAAGCCTTTTGCACGTCCTTCTATAACAGCAGGGCAGCCCAGGATGCTGGGTGCAGGCAGGGTTAGGTGGGCAGCGTGCTAGGGTGCTGGGCAGGTACAGAGCATTCCATTAGCCAGACCCCCTGAACTCAGCATCTCTCCAGGGACGATCCCTCCACCCAGAACTCTGCCTTGCCTCTACCAGACAAGGAGCCAAGGCCCGATGCTACCAGCTTTTGCTGCAAGGAGGGAGAAGAGTATGGATGGAGGCTGCCAAGGTTCAAGACACAGGTGTAAGACTCCAGATGAGAGCCTTGCTACTCAAAGCAAGGTCCCTGGCAGCGGCAGCGGCTTTCTCATTAGCTGGAAGCTTGCTAGAATCACAGAATCCCTGACCTCCTCAACTGAATTCTTTAAACAAGATCTCTGCATGATTCCTCCACATATTACATATTACAGTTACATATTACAGTTTGGGAGGCCCTGCTCTAGACTAGGGGTTCTCAGCCTCTATTAACATTTGGGTCAGAAAATTCTTTGTTGTGGGACTGTCCTGTGCACTGTAGGATGGTTAGCAGCATCCTTAGCCTCTATCCACTAGATGCCGGTAACACACCTGTCCCAGTTGTGACAACCAAAAATGTCTCCAGACATTGTCAAATGTCCCCTGTGGGGGCAGAATTGCCTGAGAACCACTGCCCTAGAGACAGAGCAAATATACACTCCCATAGGCAAGTGCATTCAGTGGGTGGTCTGGGGAATGTGTGTATGTGTGTGTATCCGTGTGTATCCTCTCAGCTTCCCTGAGAGGCAGAACACATTTTTGTACTTATCAGAAATGCCAAAAGTACATGAAACCAAATCTGCTTTGTGGAATATAAACTATGGTTCTCTCTTGATTCTGCAACAGTGTAAAAATCACAAGCTTTTCATTAACTGGCTGGTGCCACCAGTGCCTCCCGCATTAGAAGAAACAGCTGTGGCTCAGGCAGGCACCTTGGACGACGGAAATCAGGCTTGTGTGTTCAGCCCCAGGGAGTTTTGCTGCTTATTGTAATTGAAAGACCTTAGTTTAGAGTCAGGGGGCCTGGGCCTTGGCACCAGCTCAACCTTGCTCTGTGACTTCAGGCCTGTCCCTGCTACTCTGGGTCTCAGTTTCCCCATATGCCCAATAGCAGGTCTGTAAGCCCACCTAGCTCTGACTTGGCTTCCTCTGTTCTCTTCCAGCACAGCTACCGTGAGGTGGGCATCTTACTGCTCTACCTGGCTGTGGGTGTGTCAGTGTTCTCCGGTGTGGCCTACACAGCTGAGAAGGAGGAGGACGTGGGCTTTGACACCATTCCGGCCTGCTGGTGGTGGGGCACAGTGAGCATGACCACGGTGGGCTACGGGGATGTGGTGCCGGTGACGGTGGCTGGCAAGCTGGCAGCCTCGGGCTGTATTCTAGGGGGCATCCTGGTGGTAGCACTCCCCATCACCATCATCTTCAACAAGTTCTCCCATTTCTACCGGCGCCAGAAGGCTCTGGAAGCTGCTGTGCGCAACAGTGACCACCGGGAGTTTGAGGACTTGCTGAGCAGCGTTGATGGGGTGTCAGAGGCGTCTCTGGAAACATCCCGCGAGACCTCCCAGGAGGGAAGGTCTACAGACCTGGAGGCCCCGGACCCCAGTGGGCCTCCAAACTCTCAGATTTCTTAAAACCAGGGCTCCATATCCCCTTTCCCACACGCCTACAGTCAGCTGCAGCGGAGCAGAAATTCTTCCCCTGTGTAAGTTCTTCATGGTCGCATGACTGCTCTGATCACTCATGCTGGCCTGAGAAATGACACCCAGAGGCCAAGTCCCTTCCTCCAAAGGCCCAGGGCAGGATAGTGTTACCCTAGATTGTGTGAGCCTGGAGGGTGACCCAGAGACCTTTATAAACAAACCTCCAAGCCATCCGGGAAGCAGCATGAGCAAGAGGGAGAAAGTTGAAAGGATGCTAACAGTTCCTGAGCACCTGCTGTCTATTAGCCAGATCCTATTTGGTCCTATGTTGCAGGAGAAGAATTATCCCCATTTCACAGAGGATCAAACTGAGGCTTGGTGAGGTGCACTGACTTGCCCAAATGTCATGCAACTAGAAGCGATGGAGTCAGGTTTGGAATGCGTGCCTGTTCGTCTGCCAAAACAATGTTCCTCCCAATCTGTCTTCTGCCCTCACAAAGTTCGCGTGGGGTTTTAGTGGGTTCATGGATCCCTGGGGTTGATCCTTAGAGTTAGAAACCCTCTGTTAGAGCCAGGGAAAGGATCAGATGGGATTTAGATGTAGGAGCCCTAGACCTCAGCTGCGGTTCTTCCCCAGGAGCTTCCAACAGGAGTCAGCTCTCCAGGCTGAGGTCTGGGAGGGAGGAAGAGGGAGCTGCCTCCTTAGCTGACGTGCAAGATTTGCTAAGCAGTAGTCCTGTGGCTGCCTCCCAGGGCTGGCTTGAGATACAGAAATAGGGGCCCTGGCCTGAGACCTGAAGTCTAGACCCAGCTATGGGACCTGATGTGTGAAACAAGTCCTTGCCCCATCTCCAGATTTCAGCCCATCTGTCAAATGACCACCGTCTGGGCCCAGAGGGAGAGGAAAGCCAAATGGAGCAGAGGAGGCA